TGGACACTTAGCTGTTCCTTCTACCCCTGGCTGACTGTGCTCAGCCTCCCAGCTATCTCATGTGCCAGTCACCACCATCAGCATCTGCTGTCTCCTCCATTCAAAAGAGGCTAAAAGAGAAGTCAGCTGGATGCTTTGCAACTTCTTACATCCTTAACTCTTCTTCTGAAGTTCTGTGTTTTCCAAGGTATGATGGCCACAGGAGCCAGGCAGACTGGCCCAGTGGTTTGACTAGGTCTCGTGGGATTCACAGCAACTTAGAGGGGTGCAGGCATCTGGCCACTGCAGCAATTCCTTTGGGCTTATTGGGCCCTAGTTCACAGCTCCCACAGGGTTTGTGCCCCCAGCCACAGTGTCTCACTTCAGGAGAGAAGTCTAACTGCAGACTGCAGGGAATCAGCCACCCTACCTGCTGGGAGCCCACCCTGAGCAGGAGGCCAGCTCCCCTCCCCTCCCCACCCACAGGGTACAGGGGCTGCCCTTTGCTTGTCTGACTGGGTCATCACTTCTCTGCTGATGCCCACAGCATTATGCAACTCGATCCACACTGTGGCCAAGATGGGAGGGAAGCACCACATCCTGCTGTCTTGAAGGGGAGCACATGGAGGTGGCAGTGCCCAGCACTTTGCAAAGCTGTATTGCTAATTGGTCTTTTTGCCACTGGTGTCTCCATGATGGCAGAGATGAGGTTCCTGGTTCACTCCCCTACCCAGGAGAATTGGGATGGCCTGTTGGGGTTGGGTGGGCTCTGTCTGTTGAATGAAGGAAGGAATGAATGAATGAGGGATTATGCACTTGTACACATTCAAAAGAGACCATCGAATCAAGACCAGGCTGGAGACTCCAGTAGAGAGAACGGGAGGAACTTTGTGCTGACTGATCATCTTTAGTGAGCTCCTTCCTGGGCTGGAAGTGTCACCTGTAATTTCATTTGACTCTCACAATAACCCTAAGTGGGAGGTGTTTGTCTTGAGTTGGGTTCGCAGAAGTAGACATGGAGATGAATTTTTTTTGTATGACAATGATTTATTAGAAGTTATGGGGAATTTAGAAAAGAAAGACAGCAGGGGAGTGGGGACTTAGAACAGGAACATAAAGGAAGCCAAACAAGGTGATTTTGGCTCCACCCTGCAGAGGAATTCTGGAAACAGCTGAGATCACACTCTGGAGAAGTCTCCATTAGGGAGCAAGGCAGCTGCGATTTGTTTTCATGGCACTCTGGGTCCCTGGTTAGGGGCGTGCATTCCAAGCCACCGTGAGTGCCAAGCAGGGTTCAGGCAGCCTGAATTGGGACTGTTGGCTGTTGGGAGTGAACACACATGCTGAGTCAGTGTAATAAAAAATGCTAACAAGATTCACAGGGACTGTGGGCAGAGTCCCCTGTAGCACTGTTGGTATTCAAATACCTTATGGGTGTGGAAACTGCAGCTCAGAGAAGTGAAAAGGCTCACCCAGGAGCACTCAGCCAGGAAGTGGCAGAACTGGGATTCCAGTGCACTCTGCCTGCCTGCTGGAACTCTCCATAGCGTTCTCACTCTGCAGACGAAAGGGAGGACTTACCTCTATCTGCTGCAGATGTAGCTGGAGAGGAAAAGGGAAAGGGCAGCACTTAGAAGGGGAATTAGTGGTGCTGGGAGGGACATTGCCCACTGGGGTGTGAGCATTTAGGACTCTTCCCACAGAGCTGGCAGCCCTCCAGTAATTGCTGGAGTAGCGTGGGGTGATAGAGGACAGGGGGAGGCAGGCAGTGTTCCTGCTAAATGTGCTATAGCTTCTTCTCTCCATCTATCTTAGCTTCTGTGCGAATGGCACCCTCTGGAAAAGGCTGCAGAAAAGCACTATTTATCTCCGTGTGGGGAAAAGAGGCTTAACAAATTAGCTGATGCTTAATTGGTGAGGAAAAGTAGGACAGAAAAGTTGACCAGTTGTCCCGTGGGGTTTTCTGATCAATTGTCTCCACCAATATCTTCCCTGCATAGGTCTGATACTAGGTGGAAGTACTTCTTAGGGTGGCCAAATCTCCCACCCACTCCCTGGGGTCTCCCAGCAACTGAATCAGGTTGTCTGCGGTGCTGGCTTCTTCCAGGACAAGCAGAGAACCTCTCACCTGCACAGGTATACCCAGACCTTCAGATTCACAGAACTGCATATTCTGAAGCAGGACTCTCAGCCCCTGAAGCCAAGAGGCAGGGTCAGAGCTCTGAAACAGCACAGGATCTCAGACACAGCACAATTGCCAGTGAATTAGGATCCCTAGCAGTGGGGCCTGGGGGCCCTCTTTTTTAAAGCTCCCTAGGAGGTTCTTAAACACAGCCAGACTGGAGAATCATTGCTGAAGAATGTCAGTGCATGATAAAACTTTACTTCTCACAAATGGTCAACCTTCTTAGATACATGACACTGTAAAGAGAGTACTGCTCACCTTCTGCTCAGGCACTTTCTGGGATGGGACGGCGCTACTCCTGAGACATCGCATTTCATCTTGAATGACTTGGAAAGTCAGAAAGTTGTCTCCTATATTGAATTGATATCTGCCTCCCTGATTATGGGGGCCATTGGCTCTAAGTCAACACTCAGAAGATGCACAGAGCAGTTCCAATCTCTCTTGCACATGACAATTTAAAGACACCTGTATTATCCCACCTCTAAGCATCCCTGATCACTTTAACTGTCCCTCTTCATGACTGGGCTATAGTGTGCATTGTCCTTCATCGAGTGGGGTGACCTGGTTAGGTCCACCTGCCAAGGGGTGGAACAAACTCCTCCCACACCCTCCTTTCCATGAGTTGAGCTAGAGGTGAGCTAGAGCCCAGCGATGTGCTTTTACCTACCTTGGGAGACAGGAAAGGGCAAGTGTTATCTACATTTTATGAAGGAACAGAGACCAGAGTGGTTAAGTGACAGCTTGGTGGAGGCAGTCCCCTTTGGTTTTTCCTCAAGAGTGTTGCTTTCAAACTTTATTTCCCCATTTGCCCTTCTGCTCCTGGAAACTGAATGTAGGGCTTGAGTTTGGCCTTGTTAAACCACATGTCTTTAGATTCAGTTCAGTGTTCCAGCCACTGAGATGTTATGACATCCTCCCAGATTTGCATCTGTGCACATTTAATAAGAGTATTGCCAGTGTCCTCTACATGAGTGTCAAGGAAATGTTGAACTGTTGGCAATCGAGGTGAGCTAGAGCCCAGTGATGTTCTCAGAGCATTCTCAGCCCACCCTGTCTCCACTTCTCCCTCTATCTTTTCATCAGTGCTTCCAGGCTTTTGAAGACCTCCCTGAAAGTCTGCGTGTTGACAGGAGAGAGGCTCTGGACGGGGTGGCTGAGACTCCACCCTGACGTGTTCTCCTTCCTCTACCCTGACTGAAGGTCCCTTTGAGCTTTGGCTCTTCAGCCCTTGAAGCTTCTCTGGAGAGAGCCGGGCTAACTGAGTTTGTAGAAAGGGGCAGAAAGTGTCTTCGGGATACAGCCTTGCAGCATACCCAGGTACATGGCTTAGCATCTCTTGGAGCCTCCTTTCTTTCCAGTGCAAAAGAGAGGCACCCTGTACATGACAGTTTGCAGGCCGCAGCACCATGCAGACCTAGGGTCACTGGTGGGGTCGTTGGCACAGGCCCTGACACCTCCATGCCTCATTTGTTGGGAGTGAGTCAGATCTTTATGTACTGATGAGGAAAGATATTTGTGTTACACTGATAAATTAAAAACTAGAGTCTTAACTGGATGTGTATTTCATGGTCTGATTTTAATGAAAACACTTGTCTGATATCTATTTGTAGCTATTTACTTGCGGAGGTAACTGTAAAATCTTCTAGAAGGTGACACCTCAAACAATGTTTAGAGAGTAAATTTGGAGGGATAAAGGGGGAATTTTCACTATGGCAGCATATTTTTTTAAATGGGATGGGATGATGGGATGTGGAGCATTTTTATTTTTCTGCATTTTTTTTCGATAACAGGAATAATAAAATTCCATTTCAAACAAAAAAACAGGACTCCAATCTGATAGCTCTTGTCCAGGTTCATAGTCGGCCTGGCTCAGTGCCCAGGCTCAGCAAGCACTTGGCACCTGCTCACGGGATGTATTCATACGGGACATGCTTGGAAACCATCAGTCTCTTCCAATTCTTCCAATCTGTTGGCTTTCCAATTGAAGGAGAGGGAAAGCACTCATAAACACATACAGGAAACAAAATAATTAACTGAATTCTGTCTGCCTCGGCCTTCCACTTCATTTGCATAATCAACAATGTTTACTGAATACCTGCTGTGTGCTGGTTACAGCTATTGGGACACAGCTGTGACCTAGGAGATGTGGCCTTTGACATAATGGCAGAGGAGATAAACAATAAGAAATATTCTGGCAGAGGAGATAGACAATAAGAAATAAGTAAACTGATAGCCGTTCAAGCACAAAGATGGCAAGTGCCATAAAGAAACAGAACAAAACACTGTAACAGAGAGTTACAAATGGGGCTATGGCCTAGGAACTAGAAAGAGCATTGTTCTGTGGATCCTAAAGAACTGAAGGAAGCTGGGAGCCCCAGAGCTGCTGTGAGCTGCTGTCTTCCTGAATGTCACTCAGTACAGCTGGACTAGACAAGCCCCCATAAATCCCTCATTCCAGTTTCCTGATTCTGCAGCCTGGAGTAATGATAACACTCATCCCCTAAGCGCCCCAGCAGAAAGGTGTTTGCAGGCATTCCTAGGGAAGGGAGGCTGTACCTGTGTCTGTGACCCTGTGCTGCCTGCAGGAACCCAAGCATCTAATCTTGCTCTGGGCTGGTGCAGGAGAGCGTGGAGGGAGAGCAGGAAATCAGATGTCTGTGTTCAGATGAAGCTTCTTGCAGCTAAGGCAGCCGGAGCAGGCCCCAGGGGGATGGCATGTTTTGTGAGGAAAATATTCTCTAAGAACAATGTTTATAAAACTCTGTCTCGGCAGTCATCCTGTGTCTGCCAGCTTCTGTCTTGCTTCTGTTCATGTTCGTTCTTTTTCTCTCTGCAGGCCGTGGAGACCAACCTGGCTTCCAAGGACAGCCACTGGGTCTTTGTGAATGAGGTAAGGGCTCTAGAAATGTGATGAGCACGGCCTGGACTGAGCCCCTAGCCCCTTGGTAAAGCTCAGCATGATCCTTTTGGGTTCAATTCTGACTTAGGGCGCTGTCGTGAATCCTGGGGCTCCACCTAGCCCAGGCAGGAGCTCAAAGAGATGAACTTGACCTAGCAGGGTGCTCACCTGGCAGATGAGAACCAGAGAAAGAATCTTGACCCAGGTCCATGAGGAAGTCAAAAGTCAGAGGGCAGTGGTGGCAGGGATGAGGCGTGCTAGGTGAGGTGAGGCAGCCAGTGGGAGCCAGGGGCTGGAGCAATTAGGGCAGGTCATGAATTGGGATGCAGAGGCGGTGGGGCAAAGGAATGAGTAGGGGAGGAAGGCTGAATTTCATGCAGGATGGTAAGGGTGTGCATGAGTGTGAGCGAGAGTGTGTATGCAGGGTGTGCACATGTGTGCGAGAGTGTGAATCCAGGTGTGTGTGTATGTCTATGTTAATGGTGTGTGTGTTTATGAGTTGTGTGTGTGTAGGTGTGTGTGAACATGCATGTGTGTGGATGTGTCTGCATGAAGGTGTGTGTATATATGTGTCTGTGTGAAGGTGTGTGTATATATGTGTGTGGATGTGTTTGAGTGTGTGACAGGTATGTGCATGCATGTGCAAGTGTATGTGTGTGTGTGAGTGTGTGCATGTGCAAATGAGTGAATATGTGTGTGGCTGTGCATGTACAAGAGTGTGTGTGTGTGTGTGTCTTTGTGTGTGAACTGTATGTGTTGAGTGTATGTACAGGGGTGTGCATGTGCAAATTTTGTGTGTGCATGTGTGTATGAGTGTGTGTGCATGAGTGTGTATATGTGAGTTTGTGTATGTATATGTTTGGGTGTGTATGTATGAAAGTGCATATATCTGTATATGAGTTTGTGTGAGTGCTGTGTGAGTTGTATGTGCATGTGTGTTTGTGTGTGCATGTGTGTGTATGTTTGTGTGTGCAACCAGAAGGTGTAGGGATAAGTGTACCCACGTAAAGGGAGTAAATAGGAAGTCTCTCCCATGACTGACCATCCCACCAGCTTGGCCCCAGGGAGGAATGACAACACCAGGGATCATGGTGACCTGGCCTGCTCTTCATTACTTGTACCCTGTCTGGCCGTGGCCTCCTCCATGCTGCAGTCATTGCATGAGAGTGGCCTGAAATCGCACACCCTAGCTTTCCCAAAGAATCCCCTCTGCCCACATGTCGTTTCAGGAGCACTGACTCTGGTGGCCTGTGTAACCTCAGTACGCTGTATTCACTGACAGCAGACTCAGAATGTGTTCTTGGTGCAAGATTTCATCATGGCTCATCATGGCTATGGCCTTCAGCTGCTCCTAAATTAGCTGATCAATTTCTAATGGCTTCATCTGGAAGATGCAGGTTTATTATGTAGGCAATTCATTCTTTTATGATGTCTGTTTCCCCATTAGTTCTTTGCTAATATGTCTGAAATAGTCTTGGGTGGCTTATTTTAATAATTGTGCAGGTAGTATCAGATTGTAACTACTTGCAAAGTCCACTTTTCATAGATTTCCCTTCATGAATTCACATCTTATTAGCTCCATGTCCACAGACGCCAGTTGGGGACATGTAGTAACTGTCCATTTACCGTGGGGTGCAGGTGGTTGTGCTGGTAATTAGAAGGGACATGACCGCCTCCTCCTGTTTTCAGAGCCTGTGAGAGGCTGCCTTGATCCTTGAGAAGTTTGGATTCTCTGGGGTTTGCTGACTTCTCTATGGTTCTTCACAGTCCAGTTTTCTTTGTTCCAAAGAAACGGTACATTCCTGAAGTCAAATGTCTGATGCTGGTTTTACTTTTTTGATGAATCCTCCAAATTGGATAGCCAGTGTTTCTCTGTTACCAGTCTGCAAAAGAATTGCTCTGCTTTTACATTCCTAACCTGTTTTCTTTTCTTTCCCCAAATCCCCACCCACCCTCAGGGGCCACCTGTCTGTCCCTCTTGACTCACTCTTCAGGGCTGGAGTTAACTTCAGACTAATCCAGTGTGCGGTGCCCCTAGGGCATTCCATACTGGTAGGCACATTGGCATTACTGGGGTAGCTGGAACCCAGGGCTGAGTGTCATCAGGAGGAGTCAGATATGGAGTATACCTATTGGAGCCACACTGGAGCGGCTTAGAGAGGATGGCAGTGTCACGCCATAGCCAGCTGTGTACCCTGTGCCAGTCCAGGAGCACACATGGATGGTGCGAGTATCTCCGAGCTAAGTGTGTCCTCCTCCAAATGTGAGGGGCCTCCAGGGAGCTCCAACTCCCTCTTTTCTTGACTTGCTTTTCTGTGAGGCAGAGGACAACATCTAATATTTCTTATTTTTATTTTTTTATTTTTTGAGACTGGAGTCTTGTCTGTTGCTCAGGCTGGAGTGCAGTGGTACGATCTCAGCTCACTGCAACCTCCACCTCCCAGGCTCAAGCAATTCTCCTGCCTCAGCCTCCTGAGAAGCTGGGACTATAGGTGTGTGCCATCTCGCCCAGCTAATTTTTGTATTTTTAGTAGGGTGGGGTTTTACCATGTTGGCCAGGCTGGCCTCGAACTCCCGACCTCAAGTGATCTGCCCTCCTCGACCTCCCAAAGTGCTGGGATTACAGGCATGAGCCACCATGCCTGGCCAGCTAATATTTCTTAATCACCTACTGTGCGCCAGGCACTTGTCACTGCATTTGCTACCCTCCTAGTCCTCATCAACAGCCCAGTGTGACAGTTATCCTCATTTTGCAGATGGGAAAACAGAGTCTCCAGAGGTTAAATCACTTGCCCAAGGTCATGCAGCTATTAATGGTGTATTAGGATCCTATTTGAGGACTGTCTGGCTCCAAAATTTTTCCATCAAACAGTAGCTTCATGCACATGGCCTTGGCAAAGATCCCTAACTCACGGTCAGTGTCTGATTCAGTGAAGCCAGTCAGTAGGGGTCAGGTATGTACACTGACAGGGAATACTCTTGGGCTGGCCTTTGGTGTCAGCTCATGGACTTTTTTGAAGTCTTCTATCAGAAGGTAGGGCCTGTTGGAAAGCTTTCACCCAGGCACCCCAGGGTAGCCTCTGGTTAAGGACCGAGGTGTTTTCCAAATTACATGTAGGCCTATCCTTAGGATCCGGCTATATTCAGGACTACTGTTTCCGGTTTCAGCATGGCCCCAATTGAACACAAAAGTCCTGTTGTTCTTATTACAATGTGATATCATTTTAGGCTTTGCCCAATTTTTAAGCTATCCAAGTATAGAGCCACAGGCAAATAGTTTCCCAGCCACCTTCCTGTTTGTCTTATATAATGACTAGAGATAAAGTAAGGGGGAAAAAAATAAAGAAAAAAGGAGAGTCAGGGGCAGGCGTTTACTGGCTCACTTTCCAACATGCTCCAGAATTCAGCTGCTTCACTGGGTCCTTGCCTTCCCACTTCTTGAAACTGCTCCCCACTTCTCTGGATTAAGTTCAGCTCCTCAAACAAGATCAGGTCTGTGCCTCCCAACGACCACCGCAGGTGTCTTTGGGGCCTCCAGCATGGCCCTCTAGCTGTGCCCCCCACTCGCTCTCATTCCTTACAGGTTCTGCCTTTCAGTTTCCTTCTCTGTATTTGATTTGTTTTATGCATTTTCCTGGATTCAAAATAAACACTTGAGGGCACATGTTTTTATTTGCTTTCTTTATGCAGTGGTTTTCTAAATACATCTGTCCTCTTTCTGGTGAGTATTGGTGCTACATATTACAGACCTGGTTTATTTGGAGAAGAAATAATTGGATGCAGAGGAAGCCTTGTGTGAGCCCTACTGACAGTTCCTATAGGTCTCTGGGCACCACTCTGGGGACACTGGAGAGCGGATGTATTTTTAGATCTGCTAAAAGTATTTAAAGAATATTTTAATTGACTGATTAGGTTGCAAATTACCTTAGAGAGGGTAGGGGATTCAAAAGAACTTGTGGAAAACAAAATGAACTGTTAGTCAAGGTGGCCACTGAACTGTCAGTCCCTTGAGGGCATGGCCAGATTCAGCTCATCACTGAATCCTCAATGCTCTGAGTAAGGAATAGATTCTTCAAAGGTTTGTTTGAAGGCAGGTCGATGTACATAGTGTAGAGCAAATTGCATTGACAAGCATTTCCCTGTCTGCCTCAGAGAAAAGACAAAGGCAACAATTAAGTCCTGAGTTTCAGCGATGGAAAGGACCTCTATGGGTCATTCATCAGATGTTGCCAAGTTCAAGCCCAGTCAGCCTTGACTCTGGATGAGGCGGGTGGCTTTTGGAGCCTCCTTAGCAGCTGAGGTAAAATGTTTCCTCTCCACGCATCCTCCAGCAGATGCCAGGAGAGTCGGGGATCCCTGTGGGTCTGACCTTTTGGGAACTTTGTTCAGGGAATTCTCCCATAGAAAAAATCAGTATGACTCTCCAGCCTCTTGAAGAACGAAGGATGATGGGGATTGCAGCACTCTGTTTGTTGCTGGGCAACTTCCATTGTTACATGAATTCTTCTAGACATTGAACCAAACCACACACGTACTTTGGTGGAAATGGTTTAAGGTGTTTAACGGATGATGTGAGTATGCACACATAACCTTTGCACCTGGGTTTTATCAGAGAGTGAGGCTCTAAGAGGTGATCTGTGGATCAGCAGGGGCCAGGAGGAGGTGACTTCTAAAAAGGGAGGAGGTGTTGTCAGCAGGCCCTTGCCACTTCTTCCCGATTGCCAGCGTATGTCGGTGACTCCACATCTCACGTCCATTCCAGACCTTGCCCTTCAACTCCAGATCCAGAGATCCAGCTTGACTCAAGATCCTCTTGACTTGGCCACTTGGAAGCTCCATCACCACCTCAAACTCAGCGTGTCTCTCTCCAAACTCACCATCTTCCCCAAACCTGGCTGTCTCTTGGTGCTCCTGATCTCAGAAACCACTGTCGCCATCCTTCTGGTTGGCTTCTCAGACACAGAAAAGACAAAGGCATGATAAAGAAAAAG